ATTTCCACAAAACCGCTAGACTGGACTTTTAAAACCGCTAGACATATAAGCAAAAAAAAGAAAAAAAAGCTCATTTTCTCGCTAATTATAGAGTAAAACTTTAAAAACTTTCTCCGCTAGACATAAGAGTAGAAGCTCCTCATTTTCCCCGCTTAAAAAAAGGCTAAATATAGCGTAAACTCCCCCCCCCCCCAAAAAAAAAAAAAAAAAAAAAAATCCCGCTAGGTCAACCTTCAAAACACGCTAGATCTAAGCGATGAAAAAAAAAACACCGCTTGAATGGCAACACTGCCTGAAACTCCCACGGCAGAAGACAAAAATATTTATCCCAAAAAAAAAAAAAAAAAAAAAAAAAAAAAAGAAACAGACGGAGAGTGAAATAGCTGGCCGTCCTTTCCGAGGTGCAATGACGCCTCTCAGTGCTTTGTGTAGGAAACAATCTACCGGCGATATTGGATCTGTAATTTGATTTCGTATTGCCCGTTCTGAAATGTTATTAGAGGATGGCACTTAAGTAAAAGGAACTTGTAGTCGGAAAACGCGCGCGCGAGTGTGTGTGTGTGTGTGTGTGTGTGTGTGTGTGTGTGTGTGTGTGTGTGCGTGCGTGCGTGCGTGCGTGCGTGCGTGCGTGCGTGCGTGCGTGCGTGTGTGTGTGTGTGTGTGCGTGCGTGCGTGCGTGGCGTGTGCGTGTGCGCATGTACATATGTATAAAATACATACATGCACATATACATTCTAATAGATAGATAGTTAATTTACACAGTTTAATACTACTACTAATAATAATGATAATAATAATAGTAATAATTATAGTAGCAGTAGTTATAGTAGTAGTAGTAGCAGTAATAATAATAATAATAATAATAATAATAATAATAATAATAATAATAATAATAATAATAATGATACCAACAAGAACAAAATAATAACAATAATAACTACAAAATAATAATAATACTGGCAATAGTAGCAATGACATGAATCGCACCTGATACAGTAAATTAGCTTTGGCAAGTCTGAACGATAGCGTTACACTATCGTAAACGTGCTACACGTATTTGTTTTCCTCTTTTAAATTTCAGAAATAGGTAAATTTTCCCGGTAAATTTGGAAAAGACCGATTTTCCGATGAATGATATAATTTTCCAATAGTTTTCGTCGTGTTTCGAACGAATCTTAGCACTCATTCCCTTAGAAAACGAAACAAAGCTACAACGTCGGTCCCGATAGCTGGGCAGGCCATGATACCTATCAGGGAGATTTTTTTTTTTTTTTTTTTTGGGGGGGGGGGGACGGGAAATTTCGAGGTAATACACGGGAGAGTACACTATATCCACTCTTTTCCTAGTTATATAGGGGGTTTCGCCTCTTTAAACCCTCATTTGTGGGGACTATCACTCCCCCCCCCCCCGCCCACCCAACCCTCCGCCTGGTCCACAAAATCTTCACCTCATAGTTTTCTGCAGGAGGGAACCCACACCTAGTAGCAGTTTAACCCACACCTAACCTCAAGCATTAACTCGGACTTTTTGTCACTGGGATCGTCGGAGTCTTCAAGGTATTTATTGGCGGAAATAGTGATCACTCTCCGCCGTTCTTATTCGGACAGCGAGGGGTTCGTTTCGCGGCCTCTAATAGGAACTGGTTATGGACGGGTGTCTGTCTTTTCAGTAGTGACAAAAGTGTCTTGCAGTTCGGGCAGGGTACTCTTGCAGGTAGTATACCGTGGTTTCGCGGGTATAATGAACTATGAACTCGGAATTCGGTTATTTCGATGATATTTTGCAATGAACGCGAGATGGTTGTTATGGCACCCGACACTCTGCCTAGCCATTGATGGACTTTCAACCGCTTTCTCCTCGGCCCAGCTTTTATTGTCATGTGATGAACTGTTTCCTGTCTGACTGGTTCCATTGCGCTGGACGGCACTGCCTTTGGTCACGTCACGTTCCAGCGCAAATCTAATTGGCTCATTAGATTTCCGTCGATTACGCCATGCGCTACAAACCCGTCCGATTTTCCGTCGCTTTCAACGATTTTTTTTGTCATTTAATCTCTATTATCAATTTGCGAAGAAAATTATAAAGAGGGAAACTTTCATAGAATGGTGTGTTCTACTACTTGGTAAGCTCAGATTCTGTATATAAGGTGTTGGGCGTCATTTCCGATACCATTTTGCCTTTTAAGGAACTGCAGTCGAAACCTTAGCCACGGGGCCCATAGGCGTGTGAACTCGCCTTCCATTCCCGTTCTTTAGTAGAGTCCAACCACCTCCTCCTCCTTAGAGGTGCTTGTGCTCTCCGTCCAAGCACTCAACACCTCCTTCGCTTGCCATGCCCTTAATGCCAAGCACACACACCCAACTTCGCTCGATACCCCTAATGCGACCTAAAACACCACCTCCGTAGAACACACTTAAAATACCCCCACCTCTTTTACAAACCAAACGACGCATCTACTACATCCTCCTAACTATGACAAACTCTATTTTTTTCCTTACCTCTCGCGTTGGGGTCATTATTGTTGCCATTGGAAGTGATGGGGCGGCCGTGGATGCAGGTGTTCACTCGCGGGGGCGGGGGCGGGGGAGGCCTGGAGGGAACAGCGGGCGGGCTGTTCTCCTCTTCGCTCACACCCCCTCCTTCTGTGCTCCCCGCGGGCCCGATGGGCATTCCGTTCTCTATTATCTACATTCGTTACCCATCGTCGGCTGGGTCCCCTGGTCTGTTCGCAGTCTGGAAGGGAAGGATTTTTATGGTTAGGAGTGTCGCGTGGTCGAAATAAGAGTAAAAAGGTAAATAATAAATATGGCTAAACAAGAGAAAAGAGGGCGGGGATAAGGAAAAAAAAAATATATATATATATATATAATGCCAAATAAGAGAAAAGGGGGAGGGGTTAAGGTAAAAATAACAATAATAATGATAATATTGCCAAACAAGAGAAAAAGGGGTGGGGTTAAGAAAAATAAAATATTGCCAAACAAAAGAAAAGGGGACGGGGCTAAGGGAAAAAGAGAAAGAAAGAAAAAAGGGGAAAAAAATATATATCCAAACAAAAGAAAAGGGCGCAGGGCTAAGAAAAAAACAAACAAAAAAAAACGCGCCATCAGCCAATCACCAATAATTTCTAACGGAAACGCAAATGTATGCTAAAATCGACTACCTAGTTTGCAAAGAGCTACATTGCAAGTCGGCAAGCAAAACAAGCGGGCAAGTCCTCCCAAAGGTGCTTGTGGCGAGCGCAGGAAAATGAATAAAAGATATCAGACGATTTTGAATCCATTTTCTACCGTGCCGTCACATGGCGTTCCGTAAAATAATAATAATAGTAATATTATTTTCTCTGTCATTTGTTCTCTCTCTCTCTCTCTCTCTCTCTCTCTCTCTCTCTCTCTCTCTCTCTCTCTCTCTCTCTCTCTCTCTCTCTCTCTCTCTTTCTGATAGGATGAAGATGAAGAAGATAGAGGAAGAATAATAAGAAGAAAGAGGAAGAAGACGAAGAAAAAGAGAAAGACCGAAATAAGGAAGAGAAAAAGAGAATGAGAGACAGAGAAAGGAGGCGAAGAAATGACAAGACGAATTAAACACAAACATAAAAAATCATAGTTTCATTCCGTTAACGAAACAAACAAACAACAGCAAATACATAGATTCCCAATGTCTAGAAACAGGAAATATATGCTAATATAAAAATAATAGATAAGAATAAATAAATAAAGAAGCAAATTAATAAAATAATAATAATAATAATGATAATGATAATAATAATAATATTAATGATGATGATAACAATAATGATAATAATAATAATAATAATGACAGAAAGGATGATGTTGGTAATACTGATAATGATAATAAAAATATAATGATAGTAATAACAACAACAGCAACAACAACAGCAACAACAACAATAAAATAAATAAAACAAATCACAAGAAATTCTTTGCAAGTTCCGGTTCATAGGTCTCCGCCTGCAACAAGCCCCGCCCACTTGCAAGAATTTTCAACGCCTAGATAGATGGAAATAAGTCTTCGTTATTTTATTATTATTATTATTTTTTTACATATATATTTTTGAATTTGAACGAAATAACATGGTTTCAGTTTGAAGGGAAATGGGAAGGGAGAAGTGTGGGCAGGGGTGGGGGGTGGGGGGTGGGGGGGTTAGTGGTGGTGATGACAATAATGATGATGATAATAATGATAATTATGGTGATAATGATAATAACGATGATAATGATAATAATAATGATAACGATAATAGTCTCATATTCGAAAATTCGAATGAGACTAGAACCTCCCCCCCTCAAAAAAAAAACAAAAAAAAACACGGGAGAGGAGGCGGAGAGGCTGGGGGGGGGGAGGGAGAAATAAAATCCTTAAGTTACTCTTTCGTAGAGTTGCAAGAAATTAATTATAGTAGACTTCCTTAAACGTATAGTGACACTGCAGCGAGCTATTTTTAACAAGAGAAATGCTGTGGGTATATAATCACATATTTCCTAGTAGGTGGGTAGTTTCGAGTCTAAAATATGGTAGGTTTTGTAATAGTGCAGGTTAACATATAGTGAGGTTAGGGGGAAACATTTACGTAAAATATGGCATGAATAATTTTCTCTCTCTCGTCTCTCTCTCTTTCTTTCTCTCTCTCTCACTTTCTCTCTCTCTTTCTTTCTTTCTCTCTCTCTCTCTCTCTCTCTTTCTCCCTCTCTCTCTCTCTCTCTCCCTCTCTCTCTCTCTCTCTCTCTCTCTCTTTCTCTCTCTCCCTCTCTCCCCCCCCCCTCTCTCTCTCTCTCTCTTTCATTCTTTTGTAAAACAACACAAGTCCCTCATTTGCTCTTATAAACTAGTATTTACAGACAATAAGCATTTACCAATTACGCAAAAAAAGAAAAAAAAGAAAAAAATTGACGCCGCGGGTATACATGGTTACAGCATTTTAACATTCCATCTTTTCTTAAGCTTTGCATTCATTTCCAAAAGGTATAAGTCCCTCTTGTAACCCTTCACGCTACACCTACCTTTCCCTGGCCAAAATACATTCACTTCACTGCAAAACTTAAAATACTTGAAAACTGTGATCTGGGTATTTAATTTGCATGCTAAAAACGTAATGCTGAAAGGTAGTAGAGTGAGAGAAAAGGTGTGTGTGTGTGTGTGTGTGTGTGTGTGTTTGAGAGAGAGAGAGAGAGAGAGAGAGAGAGAGAGAGAGAGAGAGAGAGAGAGAGAGAGAGAGAGAGAGAGAGAGAGAGAGAGAGAGGGGGGGGGGTACTACTGTACCAAAAAAATATATATATATATATATATATTATTACAAAAACAATCAAAATAATAAAATAATAATGATAATAATAATAATAATAATAATAATAATAGTAATAGTAGCAATAGCAATAATAATATTTCATAAAAACAATAATAATAATAACATCATAAATAATAGTAAGAACAAAAATAACAACAACAATATCAACAAAATAAAAACAAATATACAAAAGTTATCACAGATATGACACATAACGCGCCCTCATTGCAAACTGAAATCACAAACAACACATGCAATGCAACAGCACCGTCTTTGCATATGAAAACGAGAGACAAAAATCGCCTTTTCATCTACGTATCGAAACGAATTAATCAAAAGGCGCTTTCTTTGATAAACGGAGAAACACCCGATGATAAGGAAGGAAGAAGAAAAAGATGATGAAGAGGAAGAAGAAGAGGAGGAGGAGGAGGAAGTAGAAGAAGAAGAAGAAGAGGAGGAGGAGGAAAAAGAACAAGAACAAGAAGAACAAGAAGAAGAACAGGATGAGGAAGAAAAAGAAGAAGAAGAAGAAGAAGAGGAGGATGAAGAGGAAGAAGAAGAAGAAGAAGAAGAGGAGGAGGAGGAGGAGAGGAAGAAGAAGAACATGAAGAAGAAGAAGAAGAGGAAGAAGAGGGAGAGGAAGAAGAAGAGGAGGAAGAAGAAGAAGATGAGGAAGAAGAAAAAGAAAAAGAGAATGAGGAAGAAAAAGAAGAAGAGGGGGATGAGGGAGAAGAAGAACAGGATGAGGAAGAGGAAGAAGAAGAAGAATGAAGAGGAGGAAGAAAAAATAACAAGAAAACAAGAAGAAAAAAAAGAGAGAGGGACGTGCCTGTTTAAATATCATGTGTTATTTAGGCAGAAAATTGCGTTCCGAGAAGCACAATTTACATATTAATTATTCCCTGTTCAAAAATCAGAACGGATTCCATTATAGCTCGTGGGGAGAGGAGGGGGAGGAGGGGAGGAGGAGGAGGAGGGTGGAAGGATAGAGGGGAGGAGGGGGTGGAAGGAAGGGGCTGGACGGAGGAGGGGGAGGGAAGGGGTGAAAAGAGGGGGGTGGGGAGGGGGTGGAAGGAGGAGGAGGGGGAGAGGGTGAAATAAGAGGAGGGTGGGGAGGGGGGGGAGGAGGGAGGGGGGAGGGGTGAAAGGAAAGGAGAGGAGGAGGAGGTGGAAGAAGAGATAGGGAAACAGACAGGAGCAGGAAGAAGGAAGGGAGAGGAGGGGAGAGAGAGAGAGAGAGGGAGAGGACGTAGAAGGGAAGAGAGGTTGTCATAGGCAACGTACTCCGCCTCTACCACCCCCCACCAACCCCCAATCACTCCCCAATCACCCCCACCGCCAACGCCAACAACCGAACAACCGAACAACCTTATCATTACCAACAACTGCCCCCCTCTCCCCCTCTCCCTCCCCCCTCACCTCCCGCTCTCTCCTCCTCTCCCCCTCCCCCCCCCACCGCCTAATTCCCTCCTCAAAAAGTTTCCCTTCAAGACGCACGAACGCCCGTCCTTATCTCTACTACTACGAACCCAAATCCCTTGTTTTAATATCGGTTCGTCCCCCTCCCCTCCACTCCCCCCTCCCCCCTCCCGCCTTCAACCCATCGATGAAGCTTGCAATGGGGTAGCAATATGCAGTTGCAACAGCGCCGCCGCCGTCGTCGTCTCCGTGCAATCTACAATCTACATTCTACAACGGAAGGAAGGAGTTTGTCTGTAGACTGCACCGTACCTGTTTACAAAGCGAGGGGGGTGGGGGTGGGGTGGGGAGGGTGAGGTCGGGCGGGGAGGGGAGGGGTGGGGTGGGGGAGGGGGAGGGGAGGGGGGGGGGTGACCGACGCGACAATAACTGAGAGATGTTTCCCCGTGTTCGAAGATGGGGGAGTTGGGGGGGGGGGAAAGGAAGAGGAAGAAGAGTGGAGGAAAATATGGTCCAATTTTTCGTTGATTTTTCTTTTATTTTTTCTTTTATTTTTTTTAGAGGGAGGAAAAAAGAAAGGAGAAAGGGTGGATAGGTAGGTGGGGTAGAGAGACAGAAAGACAGAAAGAAAGACACAGACAAACCTGAAGAGAGAAAAGTGCAGTCAAAGAACCCGGCCCTTTGCATTCGCCACACCGACGCATAAAACCCGGGCACTTCCGGAAGGTACCTCGAACTCTCCTTAAAACCAGCGCCATTTTGTATAAATATGTCGTAACGTCGGCGTTTCGTACCTGCTGTCGAAACGCGTTTTTTTCCCCCGCAGATACGAATACGAACGCGGGTCTTGGGGTTGCGGAGAATATGTTCTCATTCTTGTTATATGTGTCTGTCTGCCTCTCTCTGTCTCTCTCTCTCTCTGTCTCTCTCTCCCTTTCTCTCTCTCTCTCTCTCTCTCCTTTTTTCTACTTAATTTTTCTACTTTTTTCTACTTAATTTTTCTACTTTT